GTGAGGATGAATTTCATTAAGCAGTGGGTGTTCATCCGTGTGTGTCTTATAGTGTTCACGGTTTTTTATAGAATGTTTTCTCCCTTCAAAAAAAAAAATCTAGTGGGTGTTCACTGGGTTCTTTTGTTATTCAATCCATTAATTAGAATTTTGTCACAAATCTTCATGAAGATCTAAGTATTGTAGAAAGGTCTTATTTTAAAATTTAGAAAATATGAATGCCAAAATCAAAGAATTATAAACCTAAGTGGAAAAATATCAAAAGATTTTACATGTTTGAAAGTAAAAAGCACAGCGCCCTTTAATCACATAAAGCTAGAATTAGGGACATGTCCAGGCTCTGATTTGGGAAGGAAGCAGGATCAAAGCAGCAGAACTCTGTATGGATAGTGGATAAAATGCCCAAATATTTACATTTTCATTTGAACCTGCAGTGAGAGAGTAAATTACAGTTCTAACTCAGAGTTTTCCAAATCCAGGATATATGGGTAGAGATGAAGGAACTGCTTCATCTCTAATATACTAAACAAAACAAACAAACAAACAAAAAAAAAACAGGAAAAAAAAAGAAAATGAAAAAACAAAGGAAGAAAAAGAGATTGGAAAGAGAGACTAGGGAGTAGAAACAGAGACAATTCAACCCTTCCTAAATATGACTTAAGCTACAGGCTACAAGTGTAAGGCATTTCTTGTACATGTTTTTTTGTTCTATAATGAGGTTTTTCTTCAGTAATTCTTTTCAGTTTGCTGTGTCAAATTCTTGATGAATATCAATGATGAAGAATTTGAACAATACACCTTTATGTTTTAAATTACTTTCATAGGAGAATAATTGGCCAAATACTTATAGACAATGCATTTGAAAATAAGCCGTAAATTAGAGAAGCAGCAAATTGCATTCTCTGGAAAGCAACAACATAACATAATGGAATAATACAGATGTTAACATCAAAAGACCTAAATTATGAATTCTTACTCCATTTCTTACCAGGTATATGGCCCCTGTCAAATTACCTGCCTCCCCGAGCCTCAGCCTCCTCCTCTGTAATTAGGAGATAATAATTGCTTCATCATGGACTGATTATGAACACTAAACATGATAATATATGTAAAGTGCCCAAAAGAGGTTTGGGCCCCTAGTGGGCATTTGGAAAATATGAAGTCTGCCAGCCTTGCCTACCTCATCCTGTACTATGTGATGGTGTATATATTAGTTCGATCACCAGAAAAATGATTGCTCAGAAAGTTCCTGAAACAGTGAGAAATTCTTTGGGATATTTTTCATGTTGAAGTCAACAGTCTTCTTAGTAAGGACTGTGATCAAAGTGGATTTTCATATTTAAAAGATGTATGTGGGTAACTCTGGTAGGGGAGTTTTCTTTTAAAAATCCCCTACTCATATAGCCTTAATTATCATGACTTAGGAGTACACTAAAAAGGTATCAAAATTATTATTTTGCTAACAAACCCCCTTAATTCATGTGTATTCAATCCCAGTCCATGACCGTGGAATGTGATCCACTCAAATAATACTTAGAGTTGTGTTTTTGTCAGAGTCCAATACATTTTACAAACATACAGACTCTCTAGTGATGCATATAACATCGATGGAACTGACAACCAATAAACCTTGTGCAAAACCACCACGCTACAGGAAAATTGATACTCTGCAAAGGGAACACTTTATTGAAAAAAATTTACGGTACTATAATACTTCATTAACTTTTAATTAATCAATTAATCCTTCAAAAAGTAATGCTTCAAAACTTAAAAAAGATTTTCTGTGGCCTAAGGAAAGGATTTTACTTCTGATCAGTAATATAAATAAAATAATTTGTCATTGCTTAGATTTTTGTGGAAGCCCTCATGGCCTTCTGCTAAGTAAGTCTTTAAGTGTGGAGCTTTTATTTTAGTAAATTTAGAGAAAGAGTATTAAAGAAACATAATGGTGTCACTTGTCATAATTTAAAAATTAAAATTAATGTCTGATTTTAACTGATTACATTGTCTTTTTTTTACTTTATATGAGCATGTATGTACACAGACACACACACACACACACACACACACACACACACACACACACGTTGATTCTATGCATTTAACTAATATCACAGGAAGTCCACCCAAGCTGTTGTTCTGGAGTAATCTCACAAATAAACAGAAATAGAAATACAGTACAACTGCTTAAGAGCTACATGTGTTCTCTTTTACCTATATTACAAAGAGCTCAAGTATTTTTTGGAGTCTAGAAATACCTAATGGAACTGATACTACTTAGCAAAGATTCCATAAGGCCAACATCTAACTTTGCTTTCCACTAACAGCTGAAACAGTTTAAATTACTATGGAAACAAAAGCACAAATACTTTGCCAGAATCTGTTATATAAAGTAGCAATAATGACTTTCTCTTATTGTCAGACAGGAGAATATCATATAAGTAAAGGAGAGAGAAACAAGCTATTGGGGGGAAAATAGGGTGTGAAATATACGATATTGTACTTTCACTATACAAAAGGAAAAGGCCAATAAAAAGGAAAATGAATGAGGTCTTACTGAAAATGAGTATCATTTCATAAAATTTTGGTTCGACTTACAAGACAAGTTAAATTATTTCTGGCTAGTTCAGGCAATGAAACTGTTCATCTGGATTGGTCCTAGTAAGCATTTGTGTTTCTTTCTGAAGAACATAGCTTGACTCTAAATTCACGATCCTGTACTTTATCTCTAGCCAGAACAGAAACAGCCTATCTTATTCTAGTGAAGAAACTTGAAGCATTATCTTCATTATAGCCTCTGATCCTGTGAAAAGATAAAGAATGATATTCTTTTTTATTTTTTAACAAGTGTATTTCTGTATTTATTTATAATTGAAACATAAATTTGTGTGGCATTGTATGTCCAATGTATTTCAACAAAGGATGGCATTCTTTAAATTTGTACAAATCACCCTGTGAGCATAACCAAGATAGTCTAGGTTATCCTGGGATAGCAGCTCCAAAATTGCAGTAGATAAGCACAACAGACATGTGCTTCTTGCTCATCCCAGGACACCTGGGAACTCGGTTCTACATCTTCTCACGCCAGGCAGATGATGTTTCTATCATCTGGAAAGTTACTGGTTGCCCTGGCAGTAGACATGAACAGCAAATTGCATTCTCCTTTTAAAGGCTCCATCTTGAAATGACACCTGTCACCACTTCTCACATTTCATTAACCAAAGCAAGTCATAAGAACATAAATGAGTTTGATGCCATGAGGACAGGGAAATGCAATTTTACCATGTGACCAAAAGAAGAGCTACTAATGACCAATCACAATTAGACTAACCAGTGGGAAGGCTGAGCAATCCATACTTTCTATCTTCATTGTTGTTTATAATCCCTCTCATCATAATCATTATGTGGAAATCCACGTTGATTAACGTGGTCAAAATTATTGAATAGTTTATCCTTTACCATTGTGTGCCAGATGTACAAAAAAGTAGTCCCCTACTTGCCAGCATCCTTTTCCCTGAAATGTTTTTTCCACATAAGAACAGCCATCAGAAAATTGTTGGACTTGTAAAAACTCAATTATTACAATAAAGATCCTAGCGTTTCAGTGTATAAGTCTCAGTCCACTCATTAAATCTGTGCTATGGATACCATCTTCTTAATTTCTTTTATATGCTTTCTTTCTTTCTGAATTGAAAGTGAGGGCTCCTGTTTTATCCAAACATCTCTGGGTCGACATCGCCATTATGGCTCCAGTTGTTATTGCTGTGCTGTTGCCAAGGCAGCCAAAATACAGACCTGGGTTCAAAGTAGTTGCTGGGTGTGTAAGAGGGTAGTCACTTCCACTTTCACGAATACAGCTGCTCTGAATGTGACAAATACCATTATCATCATGGGTCTTATTACCTCCAACCACAAGGTGCTATCTGAACAAATGCTGGGTTTTAACTGCCAGTCTCTTGAATATGTCACATTTTTCTTTGGATCTTTGGGTTATTGTAACAGCTGTTTGTAAACATTGTAAAGCCTACATTAGGTACAGAATGGGTAAGAATATTTTGACCCAAATGTCTGCCCTCTGAACTATTGTAAGGAATGCAGCATGTCTGCTGACACTTAAAGCAGTAGATTTAAATAGCAACCAGGATCAACTTCCAGCTGAATAAGTCAATAGGCATTTTCAGTTTCAGACTCCATCTGGGTCAGTTTTCTTTCATCAGCTGGCCTGAGAACATCCAAGGGTATTCAGACCATACTGAATAAAAGAAAAGGAAGGGGATAGCAAGTAGGTATTTCCACCAAGATTTTGTCTGGGTAGTATTTTCCCTAAAGGTCTAATATATGCTCTTCCATAGTTCAGGTTACCAGTGCTTGTTGGAAAGCATTTCTTTTCTTTAGAAACAGGGACACGAGCAGCTTTAGAATTTGTCATGCTCTGATCTCTTTCATTCTGTAAATACCCCATGCTATTTTATGTAGTGGTAATGAGTTAGATATTTCTAGTGCTTGCCTGGTAAGCAGTCATGAGGGTTGTTGTAATAAATAAATAGTAAGAGCACATTGCTCTGATAATAGCAACTTTCATTGAAGGATGTGAATGTGCCTTGCAAAAGAGTGATACAGAATCCTTAGAAAGGCTTTTATTAGAAGAAATGTAATACAACAGTTTTTAAATGAAACAGTAAGGCAGAGTGGAAAAATAATCTATGACATTGTGTTGCGAGTGTCAGTTGTCATTGTGGACACCTAGGCTCTCAACCCAAGCAGTTGAGAAGCTAATAATCCTTCTCGTAAGAAAATGCATTTATCACACATTGAATATTATGAGAAACACTATCCACAAGATTTCTCAATTTTACAGATACCATACGTTTTCCAACAAGTTATATTAGACAGTCACCTTTGGAAGTAGCCATGTGATATATATCTGGTTGAAATTTTACTTAGGATTAAAAATAAGACTCTTAAAATAATAGTCTTATTCTTTTGTCTGCTCTTCACAGGAAAATCGGATATATTGCAGCCATAACCCTCAAAAGTTAAAAAAGTCTTCCACCGAGCTTGCTTAAATACAGGAAAGTATGGTGAGTATGTGCATATATACATAAACAACTCTAACAGAGGTATAATTCATGTAGTTATCTCTAAAATAAGTGCTTTCTTAAACAAAATTAATCTTATTTTTAAAATATTCGACCACAGTTAGAATTAAATGCAGAACTACCAAGATGAGTAACTTAGTGCGTGTATGCTGGTAACAGGAAAAAGTAAGACAGACTGAGATTTAAAGTCACTCTGGATAATCAGGAATTGACTAAACATGAGACATAGCGTTTCATGTAAAAGATGCAGGGGAGTCTAATGTGTTTTCTTCATGTGATGGTGGAACAAATTGAGGTTTGTTCTCGTCTCAACATACACACACAGAATCTCAAAATGAAACAGGCAAAGTTGTGTTCTGCTCTTTTATAGTGTGATGATGTTTGTGAAGCTTCTTACTTTGTTCACATGTTGCCTTGAAATAAAGAAGGCTTTTTCGTTCGAGCATGTGTCTTGAATTTCTTTATAAAATTAAAATTGAAAATGGAGACTAGGAATAGTGCGTGAGAGCTCTTACATCTAATTTGTCATGAAAATTCTTCTTTGTCAGGGCTGGCCCTATGTAAGTGGCGGGAAAGAGTATCTGCATCTCCCGTTATTTTTTCAATTCTAGTATATATTCAAGTATATTTTTCTGGAGTGTATTCCTACTCCAAAGCCCCTGAAGCCCACAACTTAGTAAAGCTAAGAATGTAGGATTTTTTAGAAAGTGCCCTATCTATATATTTTGCTCATTCTTACCTATTGCTACAATTTTCTAGATTGGAGTTCTGAGTGCCGTGGACTACATTCCATATAAGCAAAAGTCTCTTCTCTCAAGGGATTATGTTCAGAGAATTATCGGTAGAAATAAAGTCATAAACAGTTGCTGTTTCTAAACTCACAGAAAAGAAAAAACAAAATCTTTGAACTTATATTTAACATTGAGTACCCCTGCTCCCCTCCTGGCTGCCCCTTCTCCTAGTCAGAAATGTCAGTCTCCTAGAAACAGTGAGCTCACCTTCATTGGTAGGAAACAAACTGAGAGTACTAATTCCCACTCTTTCATGAAAGCGTGAATGACTATTAATCCCTTAAACTCCCTAAGGTTGAGTGGTTAGAATAGTTGTTACCGAAATAAATCATGTATTTATAGAAACTTAATATAATGGGGAAACTACAGTAAAAAATGTTCAGATGATATGTAAGGACTTATTTTTTCAGCCCGACACATGGGCAGATCATACCAGCCCAGACTTTTGCCTCTGGACCTTTTAGTCTGTAATGTTCGTGATTTGGGGACCTTTTTCATTTTCAACTTCTTACACCACAGAATCTCTGAAAAGTCCCGTTCATCTACATTGTGGTTCCCATTTCAGCAGCTGCAACGGACTAGTGTGTGGGGAAAGTGTGGCAGGAAAGAAGGTATTGTGCACACTGATTTGAGGTAAATCAGAAACCTTGGTTATTTGCATTCAACGAGGGACTTTCTGGGGATAGTGACTTAACTGGAACTCTGAGGCATTCAGGCTCTGTGGAAGGCTGTTGAGAAAATATCGAAGTCCTTCAAATCACACCATTTGTGTGGCCTTTTGTATTCTTTATTTGTAATTCAAATACTCATTTTTGCTGATTTCTAAGTGAAACAGTAGTTTTTAAATCCTGGCTTGCAAGCCATGGTCCCAGCGATGACTAACTCTGTGTTCTTAGGAAAATCACTTCATCTCTTTGAGTCTCAGTTCTCTCATGGGTCAATTGAGATTGTGATTCTAGCTGTCCCTTAAAAGGTGGTGGAGACACAGCGGACTATTAGATGCAAGCATGCTTAGACAAAGTTAGGAGAATTATGCAAATTTAAACTACTTTAATTAAATACTATAAGATAGAACAAAATGCAACCTCAAAATATTTTTCTCTTCCTCTATATTAGAACTAATTTAGTGTAGAAACGAAGTTCATTATTTAGGGAAATTAAAATGTCACTACTTTCTTGAAACTGAAATTAACTGCAGTTTTAGATTTTATAAAGTAATTGTTGGGATACCTATATACAAATGCTTATTTCCTGCCTTTTAGAATGCCAAGAACCTCATTATACTTCCAAGGATCCTTTAACACTCGAGGCAACGTAGTTTTATCTCCCTTTTATGGTCTGTGCCTTTTTCTTTTATTCGTGGGGTACCAAGTTTTATTCTAGGTACGGATTCAAAGCTATTTGAACATATGTGATAAACTAAAATTAAACTAAACTAAAATTAAACTAAAACTGAACTAAAATTAAAAATAGAGTTTTAATTTTATATCATACAAAGCATTTATTAGAGTGCATGATTTTATTTTGGAATCCAAGAAACAGCCTTTGGTAACTTCAAGATGTAATTGAGGAAATATTTTAGAGGATTGGGTCCTGTGTTTAACAGATTGAAATGGAGACAAGAAAGAGTAAAGCTTTCTATATTATTGTCACTGAGGTCCATTTATACCCACAGTGCATGAAGCATTAGAAAATACAAGTGAAAATGCACTGTAGTCAGGAGACATTTCTTCGTTTCCCAAAAAGATGGTCTAGGGCAAAACCAAACACTGTATGCCTCATTTCCATAGATAACCATTGCACAGGCAGGACTTTGGCATGTATCATAGTATATGCCTAATTGTTAGTTCCATTTGATAAAAATCTGAAATACTTTCAACTAGCACTACTAATAATCCAAAGTATTTCATAATGGATCTTATTTTTTCTAAACTCTAAAACACCATACCATATACCAAATATAAAATATAAAACCAATTAGGAACAGATTTTAAATAAATATTTATGATACATGTTTATTATATATCATATATAGATGTATACGTATATAAATACATAGAAGCACATGCATATATAATTAACAATCTCAAACCTTCTCAGTATTATTCTATCACAAAGTCAGGGTTTTTTTTTCCTGTATTCATGTTAATATTGTAGTTTAAAATTATTCTTATCCTCTTTATCTGTGGAGGGCTCTGGTAATTCCATAAAATATCCACATACTTAACATTATTTATTTATTGAATACGAAAGCGTCTCGAGTGCCAAAACCAGGTACATGGGTATTTGGGAGACTTAGGGCCGCCTATGAATCAGTGTGTTGTTCACAACTTCAGTAGAGAGCAAATAGGACCAGGTGGGCTCCATTATGCCCCTTGCTAAATAACTTGGCCCAAGGAGTCATAGAAGAGTATTTCCTAACCCCTAAAATAAAAATAATGACGGTGAAAGGATAAGTCAGAAATGTGGGTGTCAGCTAGACTCCTGACTCTCCCTTACCCCTCTTTTTAATCAACGGCAAGTCTGTCTCTTAAACTTCAGTTAGATTGATAAGTTCCTTTACCACATCCTCTCCAGTCACCATCATTTCTCCCCTGAATCACTGAAACAGTTTCCTAAATGGTTTCTTATAGTTTAGCCCCCCCTTATCGTATTAGTTTCCCATACTGCACTGAACATAATCATCCAAAAATTCAAATATTATGAAATCTCTCCTCTACTAAAAAGTCTTCTACCACTTTCCACAGTCCTAGGGACAAATGGATCAGTTTGCTTTGTTCATGTTTGCCTTTTACATGGTTGATTTTCCTCAACCTTTTCAAGATTTTTGGATGTGTAGTCACAGTTACAAATGATGGACTATATTGAATAGTGAAGGTAGCTAGTACGTATCGTGTTTGCTCTTGTTCAGGACTGTTTCCCCAGGAGGCCTCCCACCTCAGTCAGAAGGCTGACTGAAGGTTCTGCATAAGTAGGGGAAGTCAGGGGAATGTTCTGACAGGCAGTCTGTTTGAAGGACCCCTGGGAAAAAAGCAGGTTACAGAATAGGAAACTCATCCAGGCCTAGTATATTCTACTACCAAGAGGGAGTGCTTTTCTGACTGACACTTGAAACCTGTTTTCTGGGTCTCTATGGCAGTCTAGAGGAGCGCTGACGTCTGCTTGACTTCTCTCTCATACAGCAGCATCTTCACAAGATCACTTTCTTTGGATCATCACCCACATGCCCACTTGATTTGGAGAACAGCTCTTGGGCTTTAGCCACAGAACAAAAGCCTTTGCTGTCAAACCATAGCTCTATGTACACCTCTATGGGGGAAGAGTTCACCTTTTCTGGCTGTGTGGAAAGCACATTACTAATTAATGACCTGGGATTGACCCTTGGTTTATTTCTGACCCCTGTATTTGTTGATTCACCTTGGGGATCTCTTGTCACTTTTGATAAATTTTCTCTTTCATTTTTCTACCAGTCATATTTCATTTGTTGCTATCTTCCCCAAATGTTTATAAAATTTTGATTCACTAATGATGCACATTTCTTATTTCCCATTCATTTTAATTTATCATTTCTATCCGTTGAGAGAAAGAAAATACAGACAGGTTTGAGTTCAGTAAACCATTTTGAACTAGAAAGTTAAGTTTACCTTTAGTTTTGGGGGAAAAGTAGTTTGGATAAGTTAATAATTATATCTAGGAGAACTCACTGTTTTAAATACCTTTAGAATTTCACAACTTATGTGTCTACTGATGGACAAATTGATAAAGAAGTTGTGGTATACATATGCAATGGATTGTTATTCAGCCATTTACAATAATGTGGATGGACCTTATGGAAATTATGCTAAATGAAATAAGGTAGAGAGAGACCAGACCAGTACTGCATGATCGCACACAGTATGTGGAATTTAAAAACAAAATAAAACAGCCTTGTAGAAAAAAGATTTGTGGGCACCAGAGGCTGGAGGATGCGGAGGGGATATTGGATAAAGGAGGTAAAAGGTACAAACTTCTAGTTTTAAGATACATATGTACTAGGGATGTAACATGGAATATGATGACTATAGTTAACACTGATGTATGGTATAGTTGCCAGTTGTTAATAGAGAAAATTCTAGGAGTTAATCATCATAAGGAAAAAAATATTTTTTCTTTTTCTTTTTTTTTATGTACCTATATGAGATGATAGGTGTT